TTTGAGATCAAACTTCTCCCTGGCTGATTTACCTTCCTCTCCACCAAATCACCCCAACCTTATGTCTGAACTAACCCCAGTGTCCTTACAGAGCCTCACCACTGTAGTAGCCCATATGCGTGTCTCAAGCAGCCCTTACGATACTGTCCCACCTAAATTCTTAAAATCTGTATTCCCGGTCCTGGGCCCAAGTATACTCTCCATTATCAACCACTCTCTCACTTCTGGCTCCGTCCCTGATTACTTTAAAATTGCTAGTGTCCAACCCCTTCTCAAAAAACCCACCCTAGATCCAACCAAACTTGAAAATTACAGACCAATCTCCAAATTACCATTCATATCCAAAATCCTAGAAAAAATTGTTACAGATCAACTTCTCAACTTAGTTGAAGGAAATACAATATTTGACAAATTTCAGTCTGGTTTCCGTCACAAACATAGCACTGAGACCGCACTACTGAAAGTAACTAACGACATCCTGATGCACGCAGACAACGGTCAACATTCCATCCTCATTTTACTAGACTTAACAGCAGCCTTTGACACCATTGATCTTACCATCCTCTTAAACAGACTCCAAAACTGGGTTGGTATCTCAGGTACAGCACTGAACTGGGTCCACTCATACTTAACAAACAGACATTTCAACATCCGTATCAACAACCATGTATCCTCCTCTGCTCCCCTCCTGTGTGGAGTGCCCCAAGGCTCAGTACTCGGCCCTGTCCTGTTCTCCCTATACATGCTTCCCCTTGGTCACCTGCTCAGTCAGTTCCATGACATATCTTATCACTGTTATGCCGACGACATCCAAATCTACTACTCTGCAAAAATCAATAACCTTAATCAACTAACCTCCCTCCACGACTGTTTAGCTGCCATTAAAGACTGGATGTCCCACAATTTCCTTCACCTAAACCCAAGTAAAACAGAAATTCTCGTAATCGGACCAGACACCTTCTCCACCACAGTTCATCAGGTTATTGGTCCCCTCCACTCAAACATCAAACCCACTGTTAAAAACCTTGGAATCACCTTCGACCAGCACCTTTCTTTCAACCAACATGTCACTAAGCTTGTCCAGTCCTGTTATCTTCAACTTAGAAATATTGCCAAAATTAGACACTTCCTCTCC